AACCGCGGAACAGCGCGAACTTCTGCCAATGCCACCAGTGCTTTTGCCTTTGCTTTGCCCTTCCGCTTCCGCCTGGATGTCAGTGCAGAGTGCAGAGGCCGACGTACATGGACCTGCCTGAAGCGTTTCGTCGTGCTTGCCGGATGCTTATTCTAGGCGACTTCCTGATCTGCTTTACATTGCATCTGTCATGCCTCAAGCATGGCAGCATGAGCCTTTCCATGAAACACCATGTTGCATCTCGCGCCAGCTGGCGCCGATAACTGCATGGCCGTGTGCACGTTGCCAAGGCATAGAACTGGTACCCGCAAAAACAAGCCTTGGTATGGGTGTGCCAACGCTCCAATAGCAAAGGTGAGCATGCGCGCGATGCACGCTTGTGAAGTCCTCTAGCGCATCACATCGCGCCGTGATCATATACCCGAGCGACTGACGACGTGGTCTGCAAGATACCTAGATATACCTAGTTACGGGCACATTTGCTGCAGGGATCCGCCCTCGAGCCCGCACGTCTTCCATTCTCACCGTAGCTGCACACGCGCTTGTGGCATACGGTTGAATTGAGATGCTCTAGCTAGAAAAATCGATGTGTTGTAGGCATCGCAGCATATCGCAGTGCAGTACAGTACGTAGACATGCGAGAGTATGGTTGCCCAGGGGAGTGAGTCACATCCATTTCCTGATGGAGTTGGCCTGGCTGTGAAAGCCAATGGGCAGTTCGATTGCGGTGCAAGCACGATTGCGATTCCAGGCAGTCAGACAGTCATCATTTTGTGGTCGAGGACTACTTGCAGTTCCTTCTCACGTAGCTTGAACCACTCTTGCTTGGTACTTGCATGCCGCGGGCTTCTCAGTCACCAGCACGTTTGCTCTTCAGGTCGTTGAGTGGCATGCTGTGCGCACCGTTCTGACACGGGTCCACAGCCGACGCTGCGTTAGCCTAGCCGTGCTACACCGACACGTTGCAGGCGTGTGGCGCACCATGCCGCTCCAATAGACACACCGTTTTGCCTATCAGAGTGACCGCCACTCCATCAAGCACGTCGTCCCCCTTGAGGTCCTCACTGTCGGCTTTGCCAAGCCAAGGAGGCAAGTTGGCCATGCGCAGTGTTGTGCAGGGCCGGCTGCATCGTCAGCAGCACATAAGAGGCACCACTTGTGATGCAGCCTCCTGCGCTAGCACACAGCCTTCTGCCATTCCTCAGTAGGTGCTTCAAAGATGAGCCCGCCACCCAAGCACAACGATCGAGAAGGCGACTGAGAGAGAATCAACTGGCTACCGAAGTCTGCCGAATTCAGACTGAGGTCGTGCGGTTGTGCCAGTCTGCTTCTGTAGTTAAGCCCTTCGAGCCCCAACAGCTTTTGTGAGCGTTCCGGTTGTTTTGCATTGCGGAAGCTCCTGCTGCGTTTCTTCCCAGCAGTTTATCAAGCGGCCGTCTGCCGTGAGGGCATGTGCTTGCACGGGGCCTTGAAAGGAGAAGCGTTGGAACTGGCTCCTGCTTCCAAGATGCATGCCTCATGGCGAAAAACCAAGAGGCTGCTGCAGAGGACTACCGTTTGAGCTGAGCTGCCCCTTGATGTATGACACGGACTCGTCACTAAGTCTACATGTCCTGCGCCAGAGGCGCTCGCTCTGCACGCGGCCGTGTAGCCGCATTTTGTTTGTTGTGCCTCCCACGACGCAGTTGACACAGACCGGAGTAGTTGCACCCAGCAATGAGCATAACTTTCTTGGCGTCTGAGCCGTCTTGTCTTTCTGCCTGCAACGGCAAAGCCTGCTGCATTCGTGGGTGCTGCTGGTCATGGTTTGCCCAGTTCATAGAGTCCTGCACCATCGCCGCATGACAAGCTGACGCTGTTGCGCGACACTGAGCCCCACATGCTTCAGATAGTTCTGGCCGATGCTCTTGGCATAGTTTCATTCGCTGGTCTTCAAGGAGAGTTGCGAGCCTTGGTCGGCAGCCACGCTAGTAGCTTGCGAGCCTGAGGAAGTCAAAGAAGTCTTCTTTCAGAGTTGGGCGGACCATGCTGGGCCGCGGGGCCGTGGTTTGGATCTGCCGCAAAGCGCTGGGAACCAGGAGTGGAGCGCGCAAAGGCTGCCACATCATGGCAGACGACCGTAAGGTGCCACATTGGCAAGTCAGGTGGTGAGCAAACCCCAGGGTAAGCTGATGGTCTGAGGTGTGACTGAAAGCCTGAGATTGCAACTAGGACACCGGGCACTTGCCTTGCGATGCGAATCGCAGATGTTCAGAAGCTTGGCTTGCCATGGGCCATAAGTACCTGACCAGGCCCGGGGCCCGCAACGGTCGGGTTAGTGTCGACAGTGTCGACGAGGCACCCAGCACCTCGTTCACTTCCATCACCTCGAAAGCTCAGCAAGGGCTCCTCAGAATGCCCCTGGCAGCCAAAGGCCACAAGCCCGTTTTGTCCGCAATCTTCCGGAGAAACAAACGACAGCGGACAACTTTCTCCGGGCCAAGTTGCGGCACCTCTCCCGGCCCTTGATGTTTGCATGCCTCGGGCTAGAAGGCTGTGGGCACTGATTCACCTCCACGAAACCTGAGCCTTCGCCGGCAGCCCCGGGCTGTGAGGCATTGCAGTGACTCATGATGGACCTTGTGAGCGGCGGAGCCTGGGCATGTTGATGGATGCACGAGGGCTTCCGAGTTGCGTCTGGAACAATCAGCGCAGCGGTGCCAACGTTTGTGCCCGCTAGATAGAGGACGAAGTGTTGGTTTGCCTTCTCGGGTGTGATGAGCGATGTGATGAGCCGACTGTGTCGTTTGCTCACAACATATTCCCAGATGCCAGAGTGTCAGGCACTCAGCCTCGTACAGCTTGGCTCATGGAAATTCGTCGGAAGTCTAAGCCCGTGCAGGCACTGAAAAACACCTTTCTCACATGCAGACGAAGGCACGGAGACGTGGTGATTGCAAGCGGGTCGAGTGTCGCTGTGGACCACTCACTACTGCAATGTTGTTGTGACTTGCCTCAAGCATGTCATGGCATGTCCATGCGGGCAGACGTCCATGCCACTCAGTCTACCCTCGCTTTGCCCTTCGCCCTCGCCAGTTTCTGAGAGGCAGCTTTGGCTTCTGCAAGTTGTCGAGAAAACTTTCGTTGGTCCACGGCCTGAGGCAGGGAACTTCTCAGGGGCAAGTCTGCAATTGCTCCTCAGGGGTTCTAAGCTCCTGCCAGCTTTCAAGCAGTTGCTGGGATTCTGCCCTGACTAGCCAGGCATGGACCCATGAAGTCAGCAGCCTACCGGTCTTCAATAGCCAAAGTTCAGTGCACAGTCACCGTGTCTTGCCGGCACCTAACCGGACCTAACCTCGGCACCGCCGGTGTCTTCAGCTTGTGACGACGGGGGCCTCTGGGGCATGAAGTTACAGATGGGATGCGTCTAGGATGTAGGCCAGGGCTTCGGGTTTGGAGCCTCGGCTGCAGGGCCTTTTACATTCGACCCCCTCGCCCCTGTACCAGGACCCTGGTGTGCTCAGGGAGATGAGAGCGCGGTGGCGCCCTCCGCCCTATTGAAACTTAGGTGCTGCTTCCTCCAGTGCAAAGTTGCAGCCCAGCGTCCTGTGCATGGCATCTCAGAACCCATGTTTGCCTCGAAAAAGTTGGGGCCCAGCTCCTCGTTTCGGCAGAGAGCTGCTACAACGTGTGCTTCTGAACAGATGCAGCATACACTATCCGGCCTTGCGGCGCCTGTCGATTCATGCTGAAGACAGCAAAGCTTGACTTTGGAACCTATCCCCATGGCCTATGGCTTCGTCAACGAGCCACACACCGTGCTCCTGCGCCCCGATGCCTTCCAGGTGTTCCTCATCGAAGACCTTGCTTTCTGTCCAGCTTTCCTAGACACGGCAAAACCTTCACGAACATCCGCTGCGCCAGCTGGGCAAAGAAGCGGAGCATGCTAAGGGGAGGACATTGCCAGAGCGCCGCCGCACTGTGTGGCAGATTTGGCTGATGCTTCAGTCGGCTTGCGATCTGGTGCAGGAAGGCCGTTCCCGGGCTTGAGGAGAATCACTTGCCCAAGGACTGTGAACGAATGCGCAAAAAAACAATGCGCCGCAACGCGCCGCAAGCACAGCCTGCGTCTGCCATCTTAGCGTCCCGGGTCGAATCCGAGCAGCTTTTGAGCAGCCTGAGCTGTGAAGGTTCGCCGTCTCTGGCGGAGTCTTGGGTGAGCTTGCGACTTTGGGCTCTTATGGGCAAGCCTGTGTCTGGCACGTCCTTCTGGCTTGCCGTCTTCTTTCTTATGCCCAGCCTCTCCCAGTCCTGGACTCAGCCGAGCTGTTTCGACTTGCCCGCTGCTCCTCGAGTGGTGAGGCTCCAGGGTGCAAGGCGTGGCAACTCCAGATGACAGCCGGGACAGCCGGGATCAGGGTCTCAAGCTATGTGCAGAACTTCCGCCACTTCCGCCGCCCCCGTCATGATGCGTCCAGCAACCTGCTTGATTTGCTTTGCTGCCTCATTTTGAGACGCCCAGGCGACGCCTGGCGGCACTCATTGGCATTCGCGCCTCGCTGCGGTCTCGCAGGAGAGGCTGTTCGCTAGCTGACTCGCACTGGATTGCCACCGGTGAGACATTTGCAGAACCCTGAGGAACTTCCAGCGCCGTGGAGTGCAGCCCGTCATGAGCTTTTTCACATATGTGAATAATGCTTCGCCATGACTAGGGCCATGTTCATGTGTCACTGAAGCACGTGCCTGGGTTTGCAAAATTGCGTGCTCAATGTTGTGCGGCCTTGTTTGGTTCCCCAGGAGTGCCCTGTCTGCCTCCGCAGGGCAACCGTTTTGAAATGACTGAGTCTGAACCGTACCTATTGGCGGGTGCTGTTGGCGACTTCTCATGTTGAGTCTCAGCGCTGCCGTAACATGTGAACCTGGCAGTCTTACTGTAGCATGCTTCCACCACTTTGGTTTATCAACCTAGTGCCTGCTCCGCAAAGCCCACACTGCAATGAGAGACGAGGTGCCACATCTTCTTACGCGGATCTTTGGTAGCCAAAGCGCGCGATGGGCCACTTAGGAACTTCGGAGGCGTCATGGTGGTGGAGGACCAGGTCCCGGATCTCCTTCATGCCGCTCGGGGCCAGCTCCCGAATCTCCTTCATGCCTCCCAGGGCCACAAGAATTCCCGTGATGCCAGTTTCGTGGAGGAGCAGCTTCCGCAGCTTCGTCATGCTCAGGGCCTCAAGACTTCCCGCGATGCCTGTGCCGTGGAGGACCAGCTTCCGCAGACTTCCCGCGATGCCGGTGCCCTCCAGCTCCCGAATCTCCTTCATGCCGCTCAGGGCCTGAAGACGTCCCGTGATGCCGGGGCCGTGGAGGACCAGCTTCCGCATCTTCGTCATGCTCAGGGCCTCGAGACTTCCCGCGATGCCTGTGCTGTGGAGGACCAGCTTCCGCAGCTTTGTCATGCTCAGGGGCTCAAGACTTTCCGTGATGCCGGTGCCGTAGATCTCCAGCTCCCGAATCTCCTTCATGCCGCCCAGGGCCTCAAGAATTCCCGTCATGCCGGTTCCGTGGAGGACCAGCTTCCGCAGCTTCGTCATGCTCAAAACCTCGAGACTTCCCGCGATGCCGGTGCCGTGGAGGACCAGCCGGACCAGCCCCTGCCGGCAGGGCCGCCAACCCCATCGCGTGTTGTCCCTAACGATGTGGGAGAGTGGCGGGCGTTATTAAGCATCATACAACACGGCTTGGCCTGCTGCTGGGACGAGTGCGAGATTTCTGTCATGAGAACTTTGTACAGATCTCTTGTGTGACATGTTCTGGCCATCGCGCATATTGAAGCCGGGGAAAGGAAGGGTGCATCGTGTAAATCACAGTGTACGATTGGGTGTGCAAGCATCCCCCTGTCCGTGATATCGTTCGCAGGGTGGGTTTAGGACACCAGCTCTTAGGTGCTCTCCGGCCAGTCACTTCCTTCAAGCGCGGTGCGTATACCGGGCTCAGAGAAACAACCGCCATGTCCGCACATGTCCACACCCGCGCGTAGATAGATGAGCGGCCAGGTTGGATGCCACATACTGCGCAGTCCTAGCCGGCTTAGCATGGACACAAACTCATGCTAATCAGCAGCCGGTTGAAGGTCTCTGACTCTGGAAGTCTCGTTTGATCCCCGGGCGTGTGTGGCTGAGTCCAGTTGACAAAAGGAACGTGCGGACGAGGAATTGGTTCGAGAGGATCAGAACCCTTGAAAAGTGCACCAACACATACTTCGAAACAAAACCTCGTGTTTGCGGTTTTCTTGCTGTGAAGCGTGCCCCACAACATTCACGCACAGCCTGTCCCCGAGCATACTTCGAAACCTGTCTCAAAGTCATGCCCGGACAAGAACAATGCTTTTTGCCCGTGGTTTTACCGGACACACCCATGTAGCCATGTAGCTGTCGCTGCAACATCCTGCTCCACACTGGCGCTCTTGCCAGCCAGAGTACCTACGTGTCATTGGCCAAGACCAGCCCCCATTTCGTGGTTGACACGTGCAGAAGGATTGCGAGAAGCAGTGGGAGCTTCATTCATGACAAGATCCCACAGCCACGGCGTCTTGTCACATAACACAGGTACCGTGCCAGACGAACAAACGAGAGATGAGTGCTGGAAGTTGGCCGTTGTTGCCTTTGTTGCATGCTCTCCACACAGCAAGCCTGATGTCTGCATTATGCGCTTCCTTTCTTTATGACAAAAAACATCAACGCGCCGTTTCATCCCATGCTGACTGACGGGCATGTCGCCTGTGCAGCGCATAACACAGAGCCCGAAGCCTGCTCGAAGCCTCCCTGGGACAAGATGTTGCGATGGAAGCAGGGGCCAACACAGCAGGTCTTCATGGAACCAGGGCGCTTCCAGGACTTGAGAGCTTGAGAGCCTGCACGGCCTCAAGAAAGATTTGCAGTCCCGGTTTTATACATCTCAATTCTCCAAGGACCAGCGATTCCCGCTCTCACCAAGTGCGAGCTCTAAAGAGACATACTGCAGTGTCGGCTGCAGTTGCTAAGCCTCGCTTCCGCCGCATCCGCTGCCAGCCCTCGCTGTGGTCGCACGCGTCGCAGTGCAGGATTTGATTCGCATCGTCTCCCTCAGTGGCAGAGTGGCAGGAGAAAGCCTTCGGACATTGACTGTTGCATCTAGTTCCAGGCTGCAAAGGGGAGACGTAGGATGAGCATGCAGCCTGCCCATGCTGATAGATGACCTGCGTGTGCCGCGCCTGCTGCGCACGAACCCATGCTGCTGGACACGCTTCTGCGCTTGCTTGGGAAGCCACTTGCATCCAGACTCGCGGGCCCACCTCCGGGAGTTGCGGCACTTTGTAAACGCATTGTAAAAACACTGCAGGTCAGGTCACGTCACGCGAACCTCAATGCCATCTTGTTGTGGGATGGCTGAACAAACGTGCAACCTAGTCACAGGTCCACCTGAAGCCCGTGTGACAGGGAGTGTTTGGGCTACGGGATGTGGATCATGCTGCGGCACCTGTCCGTATGGTTTAACTACTGTTTAACTACTCTCAAGCCTGTTGGCGTGGCATATGCGTCCTGCACGAATCTGCAGGTCACAACACACCTCCCGGACCACAGATCGAGACAAAGGACGCTGCCCGCGTGCAATGTGCGCTCTGCCCTGTGGCGTAGCACCATCCTGGACATATCATGCCCGTTTCATCCTCATGCATCCAGCGCCTGCGATCAAAGATTTCCCTGAGGCGCCTGAACCCTAAACCCTAAAATTTTTCAACCGCTGCATCTTGCAACCGGGCCCCTCTGGAGGGTCCGCTGAAAAACCTGCTTGTCATCAAGCCACGTGCCACATTTGCCAAAGCATGTTTGTGCGGGGCGTGGCCGCCTAGGGCACGTTGCCATGTTCCATCAACATATGACATCTGCATGAAAGTGTTGTGAGTCTACTGAGTCTTTCACAAACCCCTCAGCGACCGCCCAGAAAGCGACTGGGATCTTCTTCTCTGGTCCGAGCTGTCGCTGGTGTCCTCAACTTTGCCGATGTGCTGTGATGCCAGTTCTAGGTCAGTTCGGTCCTGCGAATGTCAACGACTCGGGAATTTGTGAGAAGGCACCATTCTGTGGCGGAAAAGGGGGGGAAGGGCACGCCATCGGTAGCACCCCTTGTGTCGCACAGGTGCGGTTTGCTAGGTCTGACTTAGGAGGTGTGTCATAGGAGAGCGAAGGATAGTGCAGCTTACCGCACGGCATCACGCGTCGTCGCACGACCCAGCGCGTGCAAGCACACGATGTGATCAGAAAGGGCGCCTACATGCAGTCGACACACAGGGCTGTTCTGGCACTGTTTTAGCTTCCTGCCGTCAGCAGTGCGGAAAGGATCCCACGGACATGACGGTGTTTTTGGCTTGGCCGGCACGTGTTTGGCTGTGAACACACGAAGCTCCCCCAGGAGATGCTTGAGGCACCTTAGAATGCGACAGAGGTCTTAGTGACGTAGTGCTGAAGTTGCCTCAACATCGTTGACAGATGCAGGGCCAACATGCTACGCACGACCAGAGAGAAAAAACCAACAGGAGACGACTTCCGTCCCAGAGTCTGAAGCAACAGTAAGTACTTGGTAGGTAGCACTCAAACACACGCTGGTAGCTGACCCTCGCTGGCAGATCTGGGCCGGGACAGACAGCTCCTGCTTGTGTCTGGTCTCTCGGGGACACCGCGCTTTCAGTAGCGCAGCGGTGCCAAATGTCCCGATGCCGCGTCCTCAAAGGTTCTGCATGCTGGACGGGCAGGGCAAGCAAGCAAGGAAGCCCTCTGAGGCTGATGCAGCAGATGATGTTTACGTGCACAGCCCGTTCATGCTCAGCGTGTGACTTGAAGAGGAGGACCCCCTCGAAGATTCTGCTGATTTTCTAGGCCCTGTAACTGTTCAGCAAAGTTCCGGAAAGGCTCAGAATCGCACAGCCCCGCGAGATCTGCATCGCACAGCCCCGCGAGATCTGCATGGCCGCGCGAGATTTGGCCCTGCGTCGGAAGAGTCAAAGCGGAAGGTACTCACTCTGATGCTGAAGCAGCATTCTGTCAACAGTTTTCCTGGATGACAGCAGGCATTGCAGCTACATGCCCCTGAGTGCAGATCTCGCCTTCCGTTTTGGTGGCGCCTTGCCGTTCACCGGACATGGGGCCTGAGGCGCTGTGGAGCTTCGTCCATCCTTGCTGGTATAGTTCTACATTGACACACTTGAGAGACGCGTGCTGTTGCATGCTGCTACATGTGTCTACATGCTCCCACTTCATCCACAGCCATTCGGCCTTCACTAGCAGTGAATCTCCTGGCAAGCCTGAGAGGTCTGCGTATCCGAGCGTGTCCCCAAATCAACTGCGCGGACCGCGGGCGATGTGCTTGCTCCCAAGCCTCGAGGAGACTGACATCAACTCTTCAGGCGTAGTAGCCTGAGAGGTCAATAAAGGTTGCGCCCGGGTGCTCCATCTCGTTGAGTGACTTGCTTGCTGCCAAATGTGCCGCGCGCTGAAATTCCCCCCTCCACGCTGTCAGTGTTCACCCGCGCGCTTTAGGGCTTGTTCCATCTTGCGCTTCTTGCGCTTACACACTCTTTAGGGGTGTGCTGTAGCAGGCCGCTGCATGTTTGTGCCCGTCGCAATCTCAGTCTACAGCCTTGCACTCGCTGGCGGTGGTTGTCTTAACAAGTTTGAGGGCCTGGGTGCTGATTGCTGCCCCAAGCGCGTTGGGCCGCTGCAGCCTCCTTCAAGAGTCATGGCACAGAGCTGTCCAGCCGAGCTCCGCGCTGGGAGATGATGCTTGGAACGTCGAGTGACTATTCCACACCAGATGTGACAAGCTGGGTCCACTGGGGTGATTCGACAACGTGGACCCAGCAGCGGGTCTACTGTTGCAAGCTTTCCCGGCTATTGGAGGAGTGCTGGCACGAGGACTTTGATACGCAGCTGCTCGCGATCCAACAGAATCTTTCAAGTCCGGATAGCCCGCATGATGCTCATGTGCGCTGGGTAGCATCTGTTGAGCGGACGGCGCCTGCATGCAGGGCCATGTGCAGAGCAGGCCATAGCAGGCGTGGTTTTTTCCTGGGTTGACCTCGAGGTTAGTCGGGAGGTTTTCAGAGCGACACCCCGTGCTGTACGGGTAAAATGATGGAGTGGTGATGGCTCTCTTGTGCTCCGCTGCCCTCCTATTGGAACATCCCCATGTGCAAGTCGACTTGCTGCATCCACTGTAGATATATTGTGTATTCAAAAGGTTGTTCTGCCCTCGGCGCATCAGATACAGGAAGGGGCTGGCTGTCGCGCTGTTGGCTGCAGTATGCACCTGTTCCTAGACTGCGTTAGCAAGAATCCTCGATGCTGACTCCTGTTCAATGCAGAGCGGCTGAGGTCAGACATGCCGACACAGCGCCTTAAAGCAAGAAGTCCGTGCCAGCCCAAGCCGCGCATGGCGTGAGCTCTTCTGCTATTCAGGCGCATGCTGGCGGGGGGCCTGGTCTTGCAGCGGTTGCCCCTCAGAGCTAGCTTGGCCCACGCAAGTCTGTAGACTCTACCGAGCCGTGTTCAAGCACCCACCTTTCAAGAAGATGTTCAAGGACACATAGCAGGCGCGGGACTTTGAGGCCAGGATGGTCCATGCAATGTGCCAGAAGCCTCTCTGAACTCTCTTGCTGTTGCCTGCCTCTGCAGACGTGTGGTCGAGATGCGGCGCAATTGCCAGGTGTGCCTGTTCTGACGTGCCGTGCTCAGAATCCTTCTGGAGCCGGGTGCTCCTGCACCCCCCTGCCTAGACAACTTCCACTGATCCCGGTTTGCGGTGGATGCTTCTAGGCGATGGTGCTGTGGACACCTCGTTTGGGCTAGGGCATCTTCCCTCGTCTGTCCTTGCTGGGACTGGCCTTCTTGACAACTCTGTTGGGGGCACGGGTTCTGTTACAGCTGATGGTGGTTGACGTGACTGTGGCCGGGCCTTTCCAAACAGCGCTGCTGTCA